ACATGCTCCCCAAATAACGGTATGTGTGTGTGCATATAAATATACATGACTCTCTGTAGAAGAACGCCCTAACACACTACCACACATATGCAACATGCAGTCACATCACAAGCACAATGCAAAATACAGATACCTGACTATGGCAACCGATTCAACAGAGAACAATAGTCGGGCTTCAAAAAGACTACATATCATCCTAAATCCTAGCCTAACACATCATCTATCGAGAAAGTGCATCAACCTAATATATAAGTGAGGTGTAAGTCTGAGTATAGTATGACTTTGACAGAGTCGTCATACCGCCCCATCCTAAAGATCCGAAGGATCTAAAGGGTGTCACGAAGAGTGGTGACGCGAGTTAGATCTATTATTAGATCTATTAGATCTTTATTTAACACAGTCATACTCATGTCAATCCCGATGACTTAACTCGTATTGCTCACCGGGATCAAACCAACAAACAATGCTCATTAAGGCATTGCGACAAACACGGGGTCACTCTCCTAACAAGCCTAGCTCGCTATCCATGCAAACATGGAAATGCAAACAAATCAAAACATACAAGTAGTGATGAAGAGTATGCTATGGCGGTGACTCGTAGGAATGGGCATGCCGTGGCGGCAAGGGTCCGAAAAAAGGGGTATACCGGTAAGACAGTAACATGAAGGAATGCAATTCAAGTAGATGATATCAATCTTGCATACAAATATATACATGTACATACAAAACATGCAAAAGAGCAATTGATTGGTCGATCGAGATGAAATATCTGATTAATCTAAAGTGTTGTGCCAACCGGGCTCAGCTGAAACACAAGTGATGTGATCGGTTCAGGATGACCGACTGAGGCACAAGTGATGATGGTGCAGGTGCAAGTGCAAGTGCGAGATACAAGGTGCAAGTGCAAGTGCGAGATACAAGGTGCAAGTGCAAATGCAAAGTGCAGAGTGCAAATGCAAAGTGCAGAGTGCAAGTGCGATATATGACATGCAATATGTAACATGCATGATATGTACATGCAAACAATGAGGTGCATATGACCACATATGATAGCTAGCCACGCTCGTACTAACGACCTCATCTGGGAAATTTAAGGTTCAGACCCTTGAATATGCGGCACCGCCGCCTCTTGTTTTGGTGAGGAAATGTGGGACGTTTCTCCTAAGTTTCTCCTTGGATCTCCAAAGGGAAAACTCTCCACGGCGTTACGAAATGGGCTAGCTACAAAGCTTTTCCCATTTTGTGAACTCCTCTAGACTTTGCAAACCGAGACAACTACAAAACTTCTCTCGCTTTGCCAAGTCCGACCTCTCAACTTCTCCAAGTAAAGCTGGGGAACCCAAAGCAAGGGGAGTGAGAGACTCCGACCCATCAGGACTTGTGCTAAGACTCACTGGTTACATAGGAAAGATCCTAACCTAAAGGCTCGCTCTAGGAAATCGACGATCAATCACATAGGTACGTCGAATCTCCGGCTCACGCCGACGCACGCACCCTGTGTGGGCAATCGAACCCACACCCCTAAACACCACTAAAACCTAGGGTCAGCTAGAAGTTTAGAGGATCTCACCACCGTGACGATTGCGGACGCGTTCTCTTTGCTTGCTTCAAACTCGTCGACGTTTGATCCATGCTCCAGTGTGCCTCGTAGAACGTGCAATGAAACATTTTAGTCTTGATAAATTCTTCCTGGCTTCAACTTTCTCTCTACTTTGCCTAGTCTTTGGGGAGGCCAGATGATATGGGTCACTCTCCCTCTAATTAGCCCCAAAGGGATAGGTCCAAAAGATCTTGAATCTAAACTCGAAGAGGAATTGTTTCGCTCGACCAAACAATTTCCATCAGGAATTTTCACCATATCAGTGGAAACACAAATCCATTCACCAGACAAAGCTATCAATTTTTTGACATATATTTGCCTGTGATTGCTTGGAGATTGAAAAATCACAACATCTCCATGTGAAAACTTAAAGTCATGTAAGCAGAATCTTTCTATTAGTACAAGATCACCTCGTACAGGAGAAACATTCAGATATCTATCTGATATTGTGATGCCAAACAGTGCACCTGTCACAGACTTCCTTGTAAGCAGCCATAAAGAATTCAGTGTTCCCATATTCCAGCATATACAAAATGCGGGAGATAACGGAGGCAGGGGAGCAAGAAGTCGACGGTGATAAGTAGGTTGGCTGCCAGCGGGAGCTTTCATTCGGTGAAGGAGGGAAAAAAGGAGTCAGCAGCGGTTGCTAGGGCGGAGATCCGCTCGCTCAAGGGGGTTCGCTGGCGGGGTCTTGCCGGCAGGGACGCGAGTGCGAGAAGGGGAAGGGTGTTGCTAGGGCATCACATGCGTAAGTTTTGAAAACCTAGGGCTCGCTGGTGTGACGAGGAAGGGAGGAGGTAGGCCGAGGTGGACGCAAGCAAGGGGTGAGCATTGCCGGTGGTGAATGGGATGGGGTGTTCTTTTTTTTTAATGATAATGTTATTTAGTATTTAAACTCCTCCATTTGGGCATTTTTCGCACGTGCACGGAATCCCAACAAGATATGTGTCCTTCCCGGGTAAAATCGACGTTCCGAACGCGTTAATGCGATCCGTTTCGTCGTCCGGTGTCATCTGGAAAACTTTGCTGACGATCGAGCCAATTTGAGTCAATTTCGAGCGCAGCACGACAAATAAGACCTACTAGCCCTACCGAAACCACCCGGCAAGTGATATGCTAACCGGCCTTCGCTTAAGCGAGAGTCAAAGTCTAGTGAAATGACCTAGGCAATGTGCCCCTCAACACACGTCAAAAGGTCTCAACCGGATGTATTGAGCTACGGGAAACATATATGCACGAAGCGTCACCCCGATTCGCTCAGGTGAACATCCCACACATGTGACATAAAAAAAAATGATGCCCACAGAAATCAAACAATTTTTCCGAAGTAATTTCTACATTTATGTTTGCTAAGTGTAGTTTTGAATCAATTTGCACTTAAACTTTTTTTGATGGACTACTTTGCAGTGGTTTCAAGTTGACGTTCAGTTTATGTGGCTGGTTTGCCGACATTTCAATTTACTTGGATAAAAATCAGGCGATATGCCAGTTATCTTATCCTCTTGGACTTTTATTGATAAACCTTGAATTATTCTCTATCCTCTTTTACCAATCACATTTTCTTATTCTTTTCTTTTTGTTTTTAGTGACTGTCACCCTTTTCTCTATTGATTATATTTGTTCATATCTTTTACCAATCACATTTTCTCATAAGCAGTTGAATGGGCATTCAATCACTCACCTTTCTAACATCAGTTGAAATGCTAGTTTTGAGATCTCATTAATCCAGCCTAAGATCCTTGCTCCCCCACAGTTAATGTTATCTTTGTCAATGAAGCTTGCATTGAACTTACAAGGTAAGTCTTTTTAGATAAGATGATTTATTTCAATTTTTACAGATGGTGGATTGGTAGGGTGGAAAATCATTGGAGATTATTTATATACCCTTCCATACAAAATACTTAAAAAATATTATCTAGAAGGCTGGAATTGGTGAAATAACATGAAGAGTTAATATATACCTGTGACTTCAGCAGTTTTTATGGGCATTCTATAAGGCTCGTAATACCTTTTAAAGTGCTATATAAGGGTGCTAATGATGGGAAAAGTGTGAAATAACATGAAGAGTTAATATATACCTGTGACTTCAGCAGTTTTTATGGGCATTCTATAAGGCTCGTAATACCTTTTAAAGTGCTATATAAGGGTGCTAATGATGGGAAAAGTGTGTATAATAAATACTATCTGATTATCGATAGGTAAAAGAATGATAAGATGGATTTCTATTTGAAGCATTTCTACTAATGACGATGTGGGTGTGATAAAATTAAAATATGCATAATGAGATGTAACTCATATTCCTTTACTATTATTTTTCTTATTGCAGTCATGACATCATAGAAATTATGATAATGATATAGATGTGATTCATAGGATTAAAACTATTATAAACTGCCCAAAAAGGCATGGATATTTTTTTAGCAGGAAGAGAACATGCGGTGAAGCGCTCTCTTTACAGGTGAGCTGACTTGATTTAGACTATTTAGTTGCTCCTTCAATTATATTATGATCTACTATACATAAATAATTTAAACTCTTTAAGTCATAAAACAGTGAACGCAATGAAGTATTGAAACAAATACTAAATCAAACATGAAATGCTATAAAATGATGGGAGAGTGAACATCTTAATCTCAATAAGTGAATTAACCAAAATCATAATTGGCATCACTGTTTTTAGCATTCTATTAGGCATATAATGCTTCCATATTTGTTATGCACCATTTCTTTCTAAATTTGGATATGCAAGATGGGGTTGTAATACATATACGCTGCATGTCTGAGTACTTTCTTATCTAACATGTATTAGATTTTTTTAATATTTACATGTATACCACTTAATTTTTTGTATATACATATCTACAACCTAAACTTCAATTTTTGCATACATGCCGCCTTACATATGTATGAGAATGTGTTAATCACTTTTAAAAGTTAAAATGGTGAAATTTTTGATGTGATATGAAAAATTTGGGTGGTCTAAATGTAAAAAATAAAGTGTAGGTGTTAGATATGTAAATACATAGGAATTGAGTGGTATGTATGTAAATGCCCCTAGATTTTAATATGTTAGGCTCTCGGAACTATTCACGCTTCTTAGAGGCCCAATGTGCTCTCTCCTGTTTGCTGAGCTCATTATTGTAATATAGCTTACTTATGTCAATACATGCAAGTATTATGAAATGCATTCCTATTATAGTATATTGGGCCCTATGAAGCACGCATGCTACCCTGGTTTTATTGTGTTCTGGTCCTTGTTTTTTTAGAAGGCTTTTTTTCCACGTGTTTGTGTTCCATATGGTTCAAGTAATTATTTTCTGCTGGTATTATATATTTTATATATGATAACTTCTATAGATTGATCAAGTCCTTAAACAATGATAATGGCCATTAAATACAGGTCTCCATATGTGACTGGTACATCAGTATTAGGCCTCAAATATAAAGATGGTGTTATACTGGCTGCTGATATGGGAGGTCAGCTGCTTCTTTTCCTTTTTTGTGTGTGGAAGATTTACATAAAATGTATTTACATGTCTAACATCTAAACTTCAGTTTTTCATTTATGTCACCTTACCTATGCATAAAAAGGTGCATTTCACTTTTTAAAATTTAAAATAGTGGTATTTTTTATGTGATATGAAAAATTTTGGGTGGTATCAATGTAAAAAGCAAAGTTTGTTTCAGATATGTAAATACATAGGCATTGGGTGGTATTTATGTAAATGCCTCTTTTTTTCCAGTTTTGTTTATACTATACTTTAGCTATTCTGCAACTTGATTTAATGGCTTTCTTTAGGTTTTTAGCTGAATTGTATCTTATCATCTCTTTCTATTGTTTCATTAAGTTAGCATCCCTTCAGAAAATTAAGAAACTTGAAGCTCAAAGGCTTTTCAGGACATTGTTGTTGTTTGTTGACTTCTAATTAAATAAAGCTTCTCAATGTAGCATCCATTAATGTATTTTTTGAGTTTTCTATTTCTTTAATGGCTTAACGATGACATTGTAGTTGTATTGCTTATCTTGGATAATCTGAAAGCTTAACACTTTCAGTTCAAACTATTAGTCCATTCTTAAAACCTCCCCATTTTCTGCGCTTTAAAATTCTGATATTGGGTAGAATATTTTTGATAAAATTCCAATTTGAAACCGGTGTTTTTGGGGGAACTCTATTGCTAATGTTTTTCTTTTCTTCTTATGTTGTGAGTAATCTGCATGGCTATCTTGTAGGTCCCAAAAGGGTTTTTGCTTAGCTGAAGCTGGAGTTTATATTGGGCTTTGATTGGGATATTTTTTTCACTGCTTTAGTGATAGGAATAGTAACAAAAAAAACATTCGCTTCATGACGGTTTTTTTACAGCTTTTTCAAAATTTTGCCATAAGAAAGATGGTTTTGGTAAATCATAGTTGAAATTGTGGTTAAAAAGCAGCTTTTAACAGTTAAAACAAGAAAGCATAATTTTTCCTAAATAAAGCCTCATATTGATCTATCTCATAGTAAATCAATTTGTAGCATGTCGAGTTGTCTTTCCTTTGGGGTCAGCAATTTTTTTTTCTCAGTCTAAGTGGGGCTTTTATTCCAGAAAAGCTTCTTGGCTTAATTTTAGTCCGCACTATAAATTGCCGTGAACATATTTATGAAAACATTGATTGCATACCAATTTTTTAGTTATATGATGTCTTTCAAGGTGTACAAAAGAACCCAATCCTTCTCTAAGCTTTCTTTGTTCTGGCTTTTTTGAATGCCCCCTCCTTGGAGTTGTGCTTTCTTCTTTGATTACTATGGTTCTGTTTGATTTATTGATTCAGCAGTTTATTGCTTCTGGTTTTAATGGTGCAGGCCTCCAAGTCTTGTAGTTTCCTGGGGTGTGAGGCTGTTCAGTTCGATGCTGACTTTTGATGTCTATAAGTTGTTTTTAACAAGTTTTTTTTGCTTCAAGTTCTATTTTGATGGTCTAGACTTTGTCCAATGTCAGTCCATGCTTTGGGTGGCTAATTTTTCTTTGGCAGGCTGTTTCTTACATTGGTTCAATTGCTTTTTTTGTTTGTACCTTGGTTCCATGTATTTTTTTGTGTGCTATTTTTTTTTTTTCATTTGGAATTTGTTCTAAAAGGGTGTAAAATAAGTTGGAACCTAATGCTATCCCAATAGAAACATGTAAATATTTAGGATATTTAGGAGTTACTTGGCTTACTATACTTTTTAATATTATTTTAAAAATTTAAAAGATGCCTGTGAAGTGGAGGAATAGTACTTTGGTCCCTATTTTTAAAAATAAAGGGGATGCACATAAGTGTGCAAATTATTGAGGAATTAGGTTAATGTGCCATACGTTAAAATTATACGAGAGAGTAATTGAACATACTTTAAGACGTGATACAAAATCCCTCATAATCAGTTTGGATTTATGTTGGGCAAGTCAACCATGGAAACTGTACATCTATTGAGTGGTTTGATGGAGAAGTACAAAGAGAGTAAGGAGGATCTACATATAATTTCTATGGATTTAGAAAAAGCTTACGATACGGTTTCAAAAGAAGTTCTTTGGAGAGTTCTAAAAAAGCAAGGTATTGACATGACTTATTTTTAAGTCGTTTAAGATATGTATGCTAGAGTTGTTACTTGTGTTTGAACAAAATGATTATGAACCAACATATTTTCTAATTTCAGATAGATTACATTAGGGATCAACTTTCAGCTCGTATCTTTTTGCTTCAGCTCTGGTTGCTCTTAACTGGACATGTACAGAAGGATGTGCCTTGTTGTATGCTTTTTGCTGATGATATCCTTATTGTGGGTAATACTAGAGAAAAAGTTCGGGAAAAAAAAATGAATTATGGATGTCTACATTAGAGTCTAAAGACCTTCGTTTGAGTGAGTTTAAAACTGAATACATGGAATGTAATTTTAGTAGAAGTAAATCTAGCGACAGAGCCCTAACAATGGGTGATCAAATTATTAAATGGTGTGAACGTTTTAGATATCTTAGGTTTATTGTTCAAAGTGATGGTGATATAGATGGGGATGTTATTAATAGAATTCAAGTTGTATGGTTGAAGTGAAGGAATGCAAAGGAATGCATCGGGCCTATTGTGCGGGCCTATTGTGTGATAGAAAAGTACAGCTTAGGCTTGAAGGAAAATTTTATAACATTGTGGTAAGATCTGCAATACTTTATGACACAAAATGTTGGCCTTTAAAAGAGAAGCATAAAAGTAGAAGTGTTACTGTGATGAGATTGCTTAGGTGGATGAGTGGCTTGACACTTAGTGACAAAGTGCGAAACAAATGTATCTGTGAAAGGGTTGGTGTAGCGTTAGTGGATAATTAGATTAGAGAGAGTCATCTTAGATGTTTTGGTCACATTAAACGTTGGTCATCTAATGATCTAGTTAGGAGAGTAGATGCTTTAGGTTTGAATTATGTTAAGAAAGGTAGAGGTAGACCTAACAAAACTTGCGCTTGTTGTATAAAAAATAATCTTAATTTATTAGAATTAAATGAAAACATGACAATAGGAATGAAGAAAAAGGATTCATGTAGTTGACCCCTTTTAGCGGGATAAAGGCTTGTTGTTGTTGGATTCTGTTCTAGAACAAAGCCCCTAATTTTTTTTTTAGAACTTTGCTCTATCTTCTTTCTATTTTTAATCAAAAGATCTTTTAATTCATTATGTGGATGATTTCTTTAAGTGATAGTTACGTCAATTGATGTTAAAAGTGTAATGCAGCATGCATTTTGGAAGAGAATGTCCATCAGCGGGTTATTTATTGTATATTTTAAAATATATCTCAAGATACTCTCAATTTTTATTCTATTAAATTAAGGTTTTTTTCCATACTTTTTTGTGCTTTATCGCTTTGCTTCATTTATGTTTGTTCATCTTGTGTATTGATACTTTTATTTTTTTAAGCATTTTCTCTATGGCTCTGACTTTACATTTATTTTAGTGAATATTTCAGCTATTAGAGTTTTATCATTTGTGAGAAGCACCCAACAAGGCCCCACACAGTGTATTCTTTTGAAGCATTTCTTAACAAGTACAAGAGGATGTGAACTTAATGTTGATTTTGATTGTAATCTGATTATAACTGAAAATTTTATAACTCTTTTGTTACTCCACAACTATTTTTAATATTTGATAATTCTCTATCTCCACAACTATTTTTAATATTTGATAATTCTCTATCATATATATATTTATTAGCTTCAACATAACTTTGGTATATTTTTTTTTTCTTTCAATGCAAACCAAACCATTACTTGTATACTTGATCATAAGCCTTATATGATCAATAAAAATCATAAGCCTTTATTCCTTGGCTTTATGTTGTTTTCATTTTGTTTTGATGGTTTTATTTTCTTCAAGCGTTTTCTCCATTGTTCTAATTTCTTATTTTTTTAGTTGATATTTCACCTATTACAGGTATGCCATTTGTGAAAAACATCCGTATGGATAATCTCTTAATAAATACAAGATGTAAATTAATTTTGATATTGGCTGTAATTTTGTTATAATTGGCAACACTTTACGATTTTCTTACTTTACAACTATTTTTAATATTTGGTATTTTCTCTCTCTCTCTCTCTCTCTCTATATATAAATACGTCTTTACTTATTTTTGGGTAGAGTTGTAAGTGGCGGAGGATCCCCATTATGGAGTGCGTATTGTATTTCTTTTGGTTTCTAGTTGGGAATCCTTCTCCAACAAAACATGTATTAACTTTATTATATTAACGCGTAGGGAGACGAATAATGCTCCTTTAACTATATATATATATATATAGTTATTTATATATATATATATATTAAAGCTTCAACATACAATCGATACACTTTTTTTCTTTTAATGCCACCAATTCATTGCTTGTTTGATCATATGCCTTATAAGATTAATAATAATCATATGAAGATTTTTATTTCTTCTTTATATTTTGTCATTAATTATATATTGCAAAAATTCTCTTTTTCAAGGTTTTCTTCTGATTGAAATTGCATTTCTTTTAAAGTTTATATTTTACTTTCCTTTTTAATAACTTCAGTGTATTGCTTATAAATTTTAATTTCTTTGTTATCACAATCCGCCTTCTCCAATTTTTTATAATTTATTAGCTTTTAAAGTTTGATTGGAAAGATTTATTGCCAAAATATTAGAATATTAGTTGTATTTCCTTATATATATATATATATATATATATATATATATTATTATTTTTTTTTTTTAATTTGGGTCGAAACTCAGGTGTGCTTCAATAGCTGAATAAGGAAGATCTACATATGGTTTTTGTTGATTTAGAAAAAAAAAACTTATGATAAGATTCTAAGAGAAGTACTTTGAAGAGTTCTAGAAAAGAAAGACTTTGCTATTGGTTATATTCAAGTCATTATATATATATATATATGCATGTATTTACGTATGGATGCATGCATGCAATATAATCTATTCCTTTAAACTCTTATTTAATAAATTTTCGAAAGAGTTTTTTTCCTTCAATTATGATCTTTGTTACTTTTAATGCATTTAACTATTTAAAATCTCCTAGAACTTTAACGACAACCCTTTCAATGAAACGAGTCATCTTATCTGCCATAGCTTGGCTCAAGTAGAAAATTCGATGCATTCTTCTTAACAATTTATTTTGAAATATTTATCATTTTAGTTCCATCATTTTATCCTCATGAAATTATTAATGTAAAGCTATTCATATTTGTGATTGTGCGCGTTTGTCCATCATTAAATCCTTAGGGAATTATTTATTTAAGGTATTTATAGTGTGTAATCTTAAAGTCACCTTATAAAGAAGATTTTCTATTTTTTACCTGAATGAAAAGCAGTTTATTTGTAATCTAGTGGTTTCGCTTTTGAACCAATTGTGTCCTTATTTTTTAAACTGTGTCCATCATTTCAAGATTATATGCTATTGCGGAATTAAATATGACTTCTATTTATTTATTTATTTTTTATTTTATACCCACCATAAATCCTCTTATAGTGAATCATAGTAAAAATTTTATATTCATTTTTGTTTACCACTAATTAATTATCTTCTCAGGCATATTGTAATAGTACATCCACCTTTTCCCAGGATTGATTGTTCAAATTATCTTGCAATCTAACTTGAGGAGTATATGCTTAAACTATATTTAAAAAACTTCATAGTGATTAATGGCAATCCCCAAATCATTAACCCTTTTCATATTTAATAGTTTTATCTTTCAACCCTCCTTCCTCTCTTCAGACCCTATTTCTATTTTTAACCTTTCAAACATGCAATAATCTATTGTTTTTTCAATTTTTTTGAATTTTCCCTTTTTCCATTTTGTAATTGTTAGGTGCACTTTGTTCATATTAACTTCAATAAATTCATTTTTCCTTACAATAGCACTACAACTATTCTTACAAACAGCTATAACCAACCCAAACAAATCTTAGTTTCTTTCACCTGTATAATATTTATTCTTCTTTTCATTGGGCCAACAATTTTTTCTCTTTGCATTCAAAGTCTCCAAATTCCTTGCAGTAAATTTAATTTTTGTTTTAGACATAACCTGCAGGAGACATCTTTATGCCCATCACATGTTATTTATCACGATTGGTTATGATTTGCGTGTCATTAGGAGTGCTTTTTGGATAAAGCGTTGATTTTTTATCATTATAAAGTCAGACAATGACACTGCTTTTTAGAAACATACTAGCGCTAAGAAAATTCAAATTTGAATTTGAATCTGGTATAAGATTTAAAATTGATCGTGAACGTAGCATTAGAGACCTCAACTTTTCTTATCAAAGCTCAGAAAAAATAACTGACTTATGTTTTCATTGATGTTTATTGTAGTTGTTTCTTTCTTTTTCTCTAATTTACTCTTTCCTTAGTTCCGAGTTTAAGAGTTTTTATCATCATTTAGTGCATGTTTATTGATGTTTTCATTGATGTTTATTGTAGTTGTTTCTTTCTTTTTCTCTAACTTATTCTTTCCTTAGTTCCGAGTTTAAGAGTTTTTATCATTATTTAGTGCATGAAACGTGTTTTTATTCTCAATTGCTTCATTTGTATTTATTTTGCTAGATATACACCATGGCTTGTTATTTCCATATTCTAGCTGTAGTGAAATATAAAAGGTGGCGTTATTGTTCAGGGAAGTTGCTTTTCGCTTTATGCTTATGTTGATAATTTATAATTGCTAATATTACACTACGCATTATTAAAAAAGAAGTTGAGAAGTCTTTAAAGAAAATCAAGGGTGGAAAATCCGTAGGATCTGATAATATTCTAATAGAAGTGTGAGAATACTTGTGAGATTTGAGAATTTATTGGCTTATTAATTATTTTAGCATTATTTTTAAAACTAAAAAGGTTCTTGAGGGGTTGGAGGAAGAGTATTTTGGTCCCCATTTTTAAATGGGATGCACAAGAGTGCAAATTATAGATGAATTAAGTTAATGTGTCATGCATTAAAATTATGGGAGAGAGTAATTGAACATAGGTTAAGACGTGATACAAAGATTTCTCGTAATCAGTGTAATCAGTTTGGATTGTTTGGATTTGTGTCGGGTAGGCTGTGCCGAGTAAGCCTGCCATGGAAGCCATTCATATATTGAGAGGATTGATGGAGAAGTACATAGAGAGTAAGGAGGATCTACATCTCATTTTTGTTGATTTAGAAAAAGCGTGCGATATGGTTCAAAGAGAAGTTCTTTGGAGAGTTCTATGAAAAAACTTTGTAGATATGACTTATATTCAAGTCATTAAAGATAGGTATGCTAGTGTTGTTTTTTGTGTTCAAATAGAAGGAGAATTGACCAAGTTTTTTCTAATTCAGTTGGATAATATCGGGGATTGAATTTAAGCCCATATCATTTTGCTTTAGTTATGGATGCACTTACTGGTCATTATAGGAGGTACATTGGTGCATGCTTTTCGCTGATGAAATCCTTATTGTGGATAAGACTAGAGAAAAAGTTCAGGATAAACTTAAATTATGAAGGTTTACATTAGAATCTCAAGGCTTTCGTTTGAGTAGATCTAAAATTAAATGCATGGAATGTAATTTTGGTAGTATTAGATCTAGTGGTGGAGCTATAACAATAAGTGATCAAATCATTAAAAGGAGTGAATGTTTTAGATATCTCAGGTCTATTGTTCGGAGTGTTGGTGATATATATTGGGACATTATTAGTAGAATTCAATTTATATGGTTGAAGTGGAAGAATGCATCATGCCTATTGCGTGATAGAAAAGTATCCCTTAAAGGAAAATTTTATAAGATGGTGGTGAGGCATGCAATGCTTTATGGAGCAGAATGTTGGCCTATAAAAGAGAAGCATAAAACTAAGTTAATTGTTGCTAAGATGAGTGCTAAGATGAGAATTTGCTAAGATGAGAATGCTTAGATGGATGAGACTTGACTCTTAGAGATAAAATGCAAAATGAATATATCCGTGATAGAGTTAGCAACTTTAATGGGGTTGGTGTAGCTCCAGTGGAAGACAAGATTAGAGAGAGTTGTCTTAGATGGTTTGGTCACATTAGACAACCATCTGATGATCCGACAGACAAGGTTGGTGTAGCTCCAGTGGCAGACAAGATTAGAGAGAGTTGTTTTAGATGGTTTGGTCACATTAGACATAACCATCTGATGATCCGGTTAGGAGAGTAGATGTTTTAGATTCGACTTATGTTAACAAAGGTAGAGGTAGACCTAAAAAGACTTGGCTCATGGTGTATAAATGATCTTAATTTATTAGAATTAAACGAAAATATGATGCTCATTATGACACAATGGAGAAAAAAAATTCATGCTGTCTACGTTACTTAGTGGGATAAAGGCTCATTGCTGTTGTTCTACTAATATTACACCACACTATTAACTTTACCAAAGCACTAAAGTTAGTACCTTAAAATTTGGAGCAAAGTTAAAAGAACCTTTTACTGCCTATATTTGATGTTCAGTTTCTTTGTGCTCTTGGTTGGTCGGATGAAGCTCGTCCTTTTTTCTTCTCTACTAGTGCTAGGGTTTTAACGGACAGGGGGCTGATTTAACTGTAATTTACATCTAAATAAACTTTTATTCTGCCGGAATGTATCATGTATTCTTGTTCTCAATCTCACATTTTAGATAGTTTGATTCTTTTAATTTCATTGAAATACACATATTCAATCACAGTCCAAGCTTTTGGTGAACTATTTATTGGTTAATTTTTCCTCTTCTCTGCCACCCGTGTAATATATTTTATGATCAATAGGTTCTTATGGTTCAACTCTACGATATAAGAGTGTGGAGCGGATAAAGCCTATTGGTAAACATACTCTTCTTGGTGCCAGTGGAGAAGTCAGCGACTTCCAAGAGATTTTGCGCTATCTTGATGAACTAATGTAATAAATGCTCAGTTTAATATCCTTGAATGCAAAACTTTCACAACAATTTACTTATTTGCAATTTTATTCCTGTTTTCTTATCTTAAGAGTTTTAACCATATCGCATCTACTGTAAAGTGCCAAAATTGTTCCCTGATTAAGTTTAATGGGGTCGTTTTAGTCTCACAATCTATAAGTGTCAGATTAATTCCCAGACTATAAAGAAATTGGGGCTGAAACAGTCCTTTGTGGGGACTATTTCAGCATATATTATTTTTTTTCTGGGGACTAAATTGGCACTTGTATATACTCTTGGCGTAAAATGGACCCTTGCAGTAAGTAAAGGGACTATTTTGAGTCTTTTCTCGCATCGATTGGCTTCAGGACTATTAATGAATTTGTTACTTTGCTTTTGTTTTTCCCAGTATTTATGATCATATGTGGGATGATGGAAATTCTCTGGGTCCTAAAGAGGTCCATAACTATTTGACTCGGGTTATGTACAATAGACGTAACAAATTCAACCCTTTATGGAACTCACTTGTTGTAGGTGGAGTAAAAAATGGGCAGAAGTATCTTGGCATGGTCTGTAGAGATTTTCATAGTTCTTTTCATCAACAAAAATTCATTTATTAATTAACATGTTACTTTAATTTTGTTACTTGCTATCCAGGTTGGTATGATTGGGACTCACTACGAGGATAACCACGTTGCCACCGGCTTTGGAAATCATCTTGCAAGGCCAATTATGCGTGCTGAATGGCATGAGAATTTGAGTTTTGAAGAAGCCGTGAAGCTTCTGGAGAAATGCTTGCTTGTCCTTTTATACCGTGATAGATCATCCATCAATAAATTTCAGGTATAATTGTAGACTTGAGTTTTTTTAGGGGGCGTTTACATACATATCACACAATTCTTATGTATTTACATCAATTCTTATGTATTTACTATCACACAATTCTTATGTATTTACATCTCACACCTATACACAACACACAATTTTGAGGGTTTTTAAAGAAAACTAATCATATTATAAGATACCAAACATGTTTCATTTCAAGTAAAAGTATAGACAAAATAAAAATAAAAAATCAAAAGTGGTCCGAAACAGGCCCTAAGTTATTGCGGCCACTTGGGATATCTTGTTTTAGCTCAGTGCTTTGTTTCATTTGGCCTTTTTCTTTAAAAATAGTACTAGTTTCTTTTGGATCAACACTCCCCTTATTCTTATTTGAAATAATCATAAGAAACTTTTGAATTTTTGTTAAAGTCAAAATCTTAAGGGTATGTGAGCAATTTTATTTGCAATCGAATTATATGAGTGGCTTTCAAGTATCTGGCATAGAAGAATGTTGACTCTTTTTTATTGTTATGAGAGAGAGAATTAGGGTGATGGGATTTAGTTAAAAAAACTAATCCATAATAACATAATTTGCAACAAGCTATTCTTATCCAATGATGTATCATTTGATTTGTCAAATCATTGGTTTTGAATTGTGTTTATTATATATTAGACTCCAAATTAACAATTTTCCACTAGATAACAAATTTTGTGTTTTACTGGTTTCGTATTCGTGACTGATTTCCTTAATGAACAGCTTGTAAAAATTTATTTTGTGCAATTATGTGACATTTCTTAATTTTGTATGGAGATTAATTGAGGCTTTACCAAGACTGAGTAGGCTTTCAATTTTTAACAAATCAGCCGTTTTCTCATATCCTTTAAATTTATGAACCAATAGAATACCTTATTCCAACAAATCTCAGGTAAAATTATATTTGAATTTATTATTATGATTCATTCTGATATGAAATTCTGCATTTTTGGCGAGCTCTTTAGGACTGAACATCACAATAAAGAAACTTAGCATTTTTTCCTTTCCAAATCCCTTTCAAGGAGTTATTCAACAAAGCAATTTCTTTGCTATCCTTATTAACTACTACAATTATGCTTCTATGGTCAGCAATTCCATCATTTTTTCTTTATTTTGATAGCCTTGAAAAAAGTATTAAAGCCACAAGAAGGAGCGGAGAGTTGAATCTACATTGCATGAGGGCAAAAAACTTTAATGCGTTGATGTCTTGTTTGTAGAGTCGTTCGCGGCTTACACCCCGAGACGCGCCTCAAACTGAGGCGCACAAAAAGAGTCTCAATGCTTCAGCCTCAATGTAATTAGTGAGGCTTACACCTTTTTCGTCTGACGTTTTATGCCTTAACTTTTGAGGCAGCACTTCGTTCAAGTTATGCAAAAAGGTATATTATATTGTATATATTTGGATACAATGTCTCAAAAAAGTCAAAATATAATTTAAGTATTGATGCATGCAAGAGAATCCGCGGCGATAGAATAATTAATTAACATCTTAGTGTTGAACAAAAACCCAATACACACTCGGATAATATAAATGATGGGCAGAAGTATCAGAAGATTTTTATGTGTAAAACCCAGAAAGTGGAAAAATCTCGTGGTCTGGCCCAATTGAAGAAATTCATCATAAATTGGTGATTACAGATATAATCCCTTGACCCACAGGCAAGAAATGGTTGCACAGTTTCTCGAGCTATAACATTGGTGCACGGATAAAGAAGTCGTCCTGTGGTAGGGATGGTCACAACAGAGAGTAATAGTCGGGGGCTTCAATGCACTGCCTTCGGGGTCGATGTGACGTCCATGATGATGTGTTCTTAGGTTGTTTCATACGTTGCTTCATCCGAGGAGTGGGATGTAGAGGTTGTGGCAAGCGAGTAGTGGTCTAAAGTTGTTGGCGACTACAGGAGCAGTGGCGGTCCGAGTTTTCCGGAGGGCAACGACGACCAGACATGGCCGAAGGGCAGCGAATCGTTGGTGCATAAGTTATGCGGGACTTCAACTCCTCCAAACTTCAGCCTTCTTCATGCTTCAAGCTCTAGGTCTTCTTTCAGGAAGGGGGTGTGGGATCGTAGGGCGTTATTTAAAGAGTTTCGGTTGCAATTAATGAAAGAATCTGAATTACTCTGATTGGACGACCCTGAGAGATTTCCTCGACCGGACTTCATTTTATGGACATTTGAGTGTCTTAACGGTTATAAAATTGAGTGATCTTGGACTAGTTGTATTCTTCTCGCCGAGATGTTTGATTTGAATATAAGCTCGCCAAATTTGGCATCAATTGAACTTCCAAATATGTTTGGAAAGCTTTCAAAAGTGATTTAATGACTTGATTAGGGCTTGATTAGACTCAGATTGGATCAATTTAGTATTGTTAGGTCCATTTCGTTGAGCTGGCCAGTTTGACTTATTTTGCTGAAATCAAAAGCTCTGGGTGACTTTTAATCAAAGTTTGAATGTTTATTGCTCAAAAAATAGTCCCAAGATTCATTTCAGGCCTTGAGATTCGTGTTGGATGTTGGACTTATTGATGACGCATCAAGTATGATTACTTGATTGAGTTATTAATTTATTTTTTAATTTAAATTTTTTTGGATTTTAGATTAATTGATATTAAGAAAAAATTATAGTTTTTTTTAAATTTGTAACTTAGATAGAATTAGATGATAATAAATATGATGAACGTATCGATGAGGTCATTATGGATCTTGAACCCTATGGATTTTTTAAATTTTAAGTGAATGTTTATCTAGAATCACATTTTAAACTGCTATTTTATATTAATATTTATTATTAAGATTTGCAATTCTTGTCTTTATGATGATAAATTAAATGAACATATCAATGATTTATGTAATTTATGAATTATTTTTTATTTATGAGTTTTACTTCTTTGAGACTTACGCCTTGATCCACCTCAAAGCTTACTCCTTGCCTCGCCAAAGAATACACCTCAGTTCTCGATTTCACCTTTTTAAACATTGCACTGATGACATGTTGAAATAGATGCATCTAGAACTAAGACGATAAATCTATTGTAGGGGAGTCGAAAAAGAGAAGATGATCACTTTAGATTGTCATGCAGATGTTTTTTTTATTATCATTAGTGTTGGAGAATATGATTAGGACTAAGACAGTGCTCATAAATGTGCTCATCGGAGCATCAATTGTAAGCTAGAGATTTGTTCACCTTCAGAGGCTCAAATTTTAGACAGAGTCCCAATGACACACTCACTTCGACATATTTCTCATGACTCAGTCAACTAGAGTACTGAGATTGAAAGCGACGGAAGTTCATAATGTTACGTGAATGGAAATAAGAGACATAAGGTAAATATGCCTAATAAATAAATAATATAATTTATTAATTTTAAATAAATAATCAAACTTGTTGTATTTCATATAGTTTTAATTGAACAGTTATGAAACGTCACCATTGAGCCTAATATCAAGCTCTTAGCAAGTTTGTTGTTTAATAACAAACAAATTGTTTGTGAATGCATATAAATAGGTTGGATTGTACTCAAGCTTGGTTAACCTTCAGGTTCTTAAAAAAAGTTCAAATATGTTCAATTACTAACTTGAATGAACTTGAACAACTATTAATTGAGCTGAGTTTGAAGTATAAAGTGGTTAGCCAAGAGTGCGCGTTCATTTCTTCTTCAGCGTATTATATGTACTCAACACTTTATCGTTCTAACTAATACAAAATAGCTTCATGACGCCAACGTTTTATCATGAGAAATTCTCATGTTGAAATCTTACTTTGCCCCTTTGTTCTCTATGCCAAACTCCTTCGACATTGTTCCTTCAGTTTGTGGATTTCATTAATATGGGGCATTTACATATCTAAAGCCTAAATTTTACTTTTTTCATTTATACCAATCAAATGTTTCATATTATATGAAAAATGCTACTGTTTTAGCTTTAAAAAATTGAAGTGCATCTTTTCATGCATAGGTAAGATACATATGTGTGAAATTGAAGTTTGGATGTTAGATATGTAAATACATAAGAATTGAGTGGTATTTATGTAAATCTTTTAACCTGCCATCTATATATAATAATAATTATCTAGTGAATTTAAGGTAGCACCTGAACCTTTTTGCAAACAAGACTGTCCCCTTTCAATGATTTTAAAAGTCTCGAGCTCGTGTCATATCTTATCCCTCACAATCATCATTATGAAAAGTTCTCTTGACATCTAACTGGTCACTGTGAAAATTTTTTGTTGTTGTTACATTTCTAGATCTCAATAGGACACAATGGGTAAAATGATTCATTTAGCCGACTCTACTTAGTGAGATGAATATTTGTTTTTGTTGTTACTATTCTTGATACTCTAACGAACGACCGGTCTCTTTTTTAAACATCATTTGTAGGAATCTCAACAGACTCGACTTATTTACCTTTGGAGGGCTATTATGTGGCATCATTCTTTTCCTATATTTGTGCATGCCAATTTATTTGGATATAAATTTCGACTTCGGACAATCTAGTGATTTTGATCAGCATAAAATTTATAGGGCCGTTTATATACATGCCATATGATCTTATGTACATGCATATCCACTCAAATTTTTAAGACCACATAAAAAATATCATCATGACTATCTTTTGAAAGTGAACACACCTCTGCGTGCATATGTTTATGACACCAAGATGTTGTAGGTGTAAATATCAGACTTTGAATGTTAGATATGTTAATACATAAGAATTGTGGTGTTTGCATGTAAATTTCTCCTTCAATTATCAGGAAAGGAACATACCTATGCACATACATGAGACTAATTATTTTTTTGTCTGCCCAAAGTCTTTCAGATAGTTTGCCATTTCATAGCATAACATAATAGAGGATGTTGCTGTTTTTTTTATTTGCTTGACAAACCCATGTGACTGTGGACCTGTGGTGTTACTTATAATTGTCCTCTTCCAACGAAGCACAAATTACACAATTTCTTTTTTTTTTTTAATTTTCTTCCTCTCATACTCTCTCTTTGCTTATCTTAGGGTCCTTTCGGGGCAGCTTATTTGGTGTGGTGGCGTTTTGAAAACGCACCTGGCCTGTTTGGGTAAACTGCGTTTAGCTGCTTATGCTTTTTCAAAACGCTGAAAACAGCGTTTTCACACCACACCTATTTGGTGCAGTGGCAGTGGCTTTCTGGCTGTGGTCAGACTTTTTCAAAAAAATAAAAATTTGTAATAGCTACCGCACCTAGCTTATCAGCAGATTATTCAATAAGCTGCAGCTGCTCCAAACAGACCCATAATCTCTGTATTTCTGTCCAATATATTTATATCAAGCTTTTTTTTTTTTTATGGCATCTCTAAAATTAAATAAATAAATAACAAAAGCATATTAATATTTTTTTGGATGTTTTTGCCTGTGATCTGCGCGCAGATCGCCAAGATAACTGAAGAAGGTGTCACCATTTCTGAACCCTACGCTTTGAAGACATTCTGGGGCTTCTCAGCCTTCCAGAATCCCACCAAGGGGGCTGAAGGATCCTGGTAAGGTTACATTTTAGACCTCCAGGTTGAGATGAACCTTAGACTGCAATTCATGATGCTCTAAATTCCTCTAGTTTTATTATACTCCTCTAAATTGTCATGTTTAACGGTTCTTTTGCATTCAAAATTCAGCAGATTATTTGCACATTTCAACTTTTTAATGAGTTATCTTTTACAACTATAACCTTACAATATCCTGAAATATTTGAGGGAGATCACAATAGAGCAGCATGTTCAGGTTCTGATTTCAACTGTTGGTGTGTCTAGATATCAAAATTTGCAATTGTTGTGGGATTTAATATAAAATGAATCACTACTTGGTTTATTGGAATAGTTTCGTAAAGTCTTACTTCACTGGCACTGGCAACAACGACAATAACAAACTTTTATACCACTATGTAGGGTCGGCTACATGAATCCTTTCAATTAAGATTTTTTTTTTATGTACTACACAATGATTCAAAAGGATTCATGTCAGGTTTTTTTCGATAAAAATTTTACACTGGTTGTCGATTACCTAACATGACACTCATCTTTTCGCGTCTGGGGCTTGAGACCCGACAATGCCAGGTTTAAACTTTTATATTTATATTTGTAACATTTTGATATGATAAACTTATGCATAAAAAGGTTTATTTCATTTAAGTAATTAGGTTAATAGTGGTGTTATTCATGCAACATTAAAGTTTGAGTGCTATGTCGGTAAATATGAAAGTTTTGGTGTTAAATCTGCGAATTTATAATAATTGTGGTATTTATGTAAAATTTGCAGGATCAAATTGTGTGGGTGTGTGTTTGTGTTTTTTTTTTTTTTTTTTTTTTTTTTTTTTAATTTTTTTTTTTTACTTGGTATGATATTCGAGTTGGTTTAGAGCTGTGGGATTAGATTGAGCTAAGGTTGAGCTTTATGTTCGGCTCGCTCGAAATAAAATTTATTCGAAATTAGTTCGTGAGCAGTGTGTTCGTGCTCAACTCGATTTATATATTCGTCTTTGTGTTCGGCTTCTGTTCAACTCGAAATTGACTCTTGAATTAAAAAAAAATATAACAATTAAAATTTTATATAAAAAAAACTATAATAAAATTATAAAAATAGTTTATTGCTTCAATAAATTGTTTACAAATTTTAAAGATAAAACATGACAATTACTTGTAATTTTACATCAAAATGTAGAATATTTTATGGAGATCACTTTTTAGTCTTCCCTCAAGCTCTCTCACAAGTCTTGAACAAGTTCCAATTGCATACGTATCAAGCGATTCTTATATATTTTCATATCAAACGCCTCCAATAAATTTTTTTTTTTTTTTTTATATTTATACCCCCAAATGTTTTATATCACATCAATTATAACACTTTTAATATGTAAGAATGGAAATACACTTTTATGTGCATGAATAAGATAATGATTACATACAACAACAACAACAACAAAGCCTTAATCGCACTACGTGGGGTGGGGTCGGCTACATGAATCATTTATCTCCATTGCGTCCTATTTAGTGCTATATTTTCATCTAGTTCTAGTAAATGACAATAAGCCCAAGTCTTCCTTGGTCTGACTGTGTCTTTCTTAACACAAGTTGAATCTAAAACATCTAAACTCCTAATCGGATCACTAGATGGTCGACATTTAATGTGACCAAACCATCTAAGATTACTTTCTCTAATTTTGTCGGTCACAGAAGCTACACCAACCCTATCACGGATATATTCATTTCGCATTTTGTCTCTAAATGTAAAGCCACTCATCCACCCAATCATTCTCATCCCGACAACACTTAACTTATTATTATGCTTCTCTTTTAAATGCCAACATTCAGCGCCATAGAGCATTGCAGGTCTCGCCACCGTCCAATAAAATTTTCCTTTCAGTCTAAGCGGTACTTTTCTATCACACAAGAGGCCCGAAACATTCCTCCACTTCAACCAACCAACTTGAATTCTACTATTAACATCCCCATCTATATCACCATCGCTTTGAATAACGAACTCAATGTATCTAAATGGTTCACACATTTTAATAATGATTACATGAAAATTAAAAATTTTAGTTGTTAGATATATAAATACATACAAATTTCAATTGAGCTTTCTTAATGTTTTCAATTTATATGTATGTATTTAATTATAAATTCAGCATTTTCAAAAAGCTTAAGCTGTCAAAACGCAGTTTACCAAAACAAACTAGATGCATTTTCAAAACGCCACCGCGCAAAATTAGCTGCCCCAAATAGACCCTTAGATGCTTTGAGCGTAAAACGTATCAGTCGGGGTTAGATATATAAATACATAAAATTGGGTGGTATGGCCCCAAAATGCTTTACAAAAAAAAATATGGAAAATTTACAAGAATACCTCTAAATTTTTATGCATTTTTGCATATCTAATAACTAAACCTAAATTTTTAATTGCATATCATCTTTCCTACACATAAAAAAAAAGTTCAAGTTGACCGCTAGAAGTTTAAAGTTATATTTTACATGCGATATGAACGTTTGGGGGGCATAAATGTAAAAACAACATACTTTAAGGATAACTATGTAAATATATAAAAAATTATTTCAACAGTGGCCCATGCAGGTCTCGAACCTGCGATATGAACGTTTGGGGGGCATAAATGTAAAAACAACATACTTTTAAGGATAATTATGTAAATATATAAAAAATTATTTCAACAGTGGCCCATGCAGGTCTCGAACCTGCGATATGAACGTTGTAGAGCTCGGATCATGTACTTTTATAATATAAAATTAAGGAATTTTTATGTGTTTACATATCTAACTCCCATAGTTTGATAATTACAATTATAGCACACTTTGGTGCAAAAAGCTTATAAATGAAAATGTGTATTTCACTTTTAAAAAGATAGCGGGCGTAAATTTTTTTATATGATGTTGACGATTTGAGGGGTATGCATGTAAATAATATTTAGGCATCGAATCAATATGTAAATACATAAAATTTATGTGGCATGTAGATGCTTCAAAACTATGTTGCTTGATGTTTTACCAACAATTTTTTTTTTTTTAAATGACGAGCTCGAATCAGTCTGGGCTTGAGTTAGAGCTTGATTAATTTTATCGAGTTCGAGCTCGAGCTGGAACTCAAGTCTACAAATTCGAGCATACTAATGAGCCAGCTAATCCATTCTAAAAGAAATAAAATAATATTAATTTAAGGTGATAAATAGAATGAAATGTTATAAGAGAAATAATAAGACATCATTTAATATAAAATATAAAATATTATTTTAAAAATGTTTTTACTGCTTTTAAGATAAATTCTTTAAATTTAATGTATTTTGAGTATATTTTATAACTAATATTTGTTTAAACGATTCGGCTTACGAGCAAATAGGTCGAGTCGGGCTTGCCTGAGCATGGCTTCTTAGCTCATCAAGCCCAGTTCGCAAGCCACATATTGAGCCGAGCTCAAGCCAGTTCACGAATCAGATTGATGAAATTAGACCCCTGAACGATACTCATCACACAATTCTTGATTTTATATATTTAACATCTAAGCTTTGATATTAACTTATATAACACTTCATTATCAGTAAAAAAATATTAAGCATATATATATATATATA